TTGGATCCAAAGCCAGTTAAAGCTGATATTCCCAAGAAAGAGATCAAATGTGTTTTCTTTCCCTAAGTATTCAAGGTCCCCACATCCTTGCAAACCATGGGCTTATTTCATAGCTCCAGAAGCCCCCAGGAGGTGAGCAAATTTTATACTAACTTTTAAGATGCAAAGTAGGCACAGAGCCAATGGGTAGAGTTGGACACTGGGCTAGGAGCACAGCTCAGCGGCACAGCGGTGCTCACACAGGCCCTGAGCTTGCTCCACAGCATCCCACAAAAGTGGTGTGTGTGTGTGTCTGTGTGTGTGCACCGGGAAGGGTGGTAGCACTAGAGACAGAGGCAGAGGCGGAGGCTGGGCGAGCAGAGCAAGTCTTGGGTCAGCCTCGACTGGTGTAAAATAATCTAAAATATGCAGGAGGGGCCATGAATAAAACTACTAGTTGCTCCTGCAGAGGACCTGGGTTTAGTTCCCAGCACCCACATAGTGGCATGTAGGCGTACGGGACTCAGTTCCACAGGATCCAGTGCCTTCTTCTGATCTTTGTGGGCAACCAGATACACACAGTATACACATACACCTGCAGAAATATAATAAATACATCTTTAAAATGGTTTGCTTGCCTGTGTTAGTGTTTTGTTGCTGGGCAGAGATGATAACCATGACCATGTCAACTCTTATAGAGGAAAACATTGAATTGGAGTTGACTTCCGGTTCAGAGGTTTAGTCCATTATCATTATGCCGCGAAGCCTGGTGGCACACAGGCAGACATGGTGCTGGAGAGGTAGCTGAGATTTTACATCGGGATCAGCAGGCAGCATGAAGAGGCAGTGTGTGCCATGAGGCCTAGCTTGGGCTTCTAAAACCTCAAAGCCCACCCCTCTGACACTTCCTCCAAGGCTGAACCTAAAATACGACTCCCTATGAGTCTACGGTGGCCATTTCTGTTCAAACCACATTTTCTATTAGTTAAAACTAGACAAACACATGTCAGTCACATCAGAGCTTGTTTCCACTCTGCCACCTATGGGCACTTAGCTGGGTGACTCGGGAGTCTACTTTGCTGTTTCTACGTTTATACAATTAGATTGGCAATGAGATCCACCACTTCAAGGGATTGTAATGAGGATGAAACAAAGCCATGTGCTTGATGTATGACGGTCATGGTCCCCGCAGCTCTTACCTGTGGCTATAGGGTTAGGGGCCCCGACAATCCCACACAATCTAGAGAACCACTTTGTAGTAATAGGGGCGGCGGGGCTGCGTTCCCAGCACCCCGGCCGCCTGCTTGGCTACCTTATGCTCCAAAATAACAACACACAAACTGTATTCATTTAATCACTGCTTGGCCCATTTCTATCTAGCCTCTTCTAGGCTAATTCTCACATATTTATTTAGCCCATTTCTAATCATCTGTGTAGCACCCCTAGGTGCGCTTACCGGGAAGATTCTAGTCTATGTCCATCCTGGGTCAGAGCTTCATGGCGTGCGTCTGCCTGGGAGCTGGTTGTGTGGCGTCTCTCTGAGGCATCTGCTCCCGAGAGGAGAGCTGTGGAGTCTGAGCTCACTTCCTCTTCCTCCCAGCGTTCTGTTCTGTTTACTCCTCCCATCTATCTTCTAACCAATAAAATGGGCCAAGGCAGTTCCTTTATTAGCCAATGACCTTCCTCCATCATTTCCCCTTTTTCTGTTTAAACAAAAAAAAAAAGCCTTTAACTTTAACATAGCAAAATTACGTATAACAAAACAGTTATCAAGTAAAAGTTACAATAATCTTTATCATAACTAAGGAAAACTATAACTATAACTAACTATTCTTAACTCCATCAAAGACTCCAGAAAGATACAATACTACCTAAGCAAACAAGAAAAAAGCAACTTTTAAAACTCTAGAAATGACAGAGGCATCTCGCTGCCTGTACAGTCACCCAAAGTTCCTCTGTACCGTTGGGGCATCCATGTTCAGCCTTCAGGCCCATGGTATCCAGCAGACATTTCCATAAAGCAGGAAAATTCAAAGTCAGTTCAGTCACTATCTGTTGTGTCCTGCAGAATGTCTCGCAGACTCTTTCATGAATCAGGAACCCCGAAAGATCATCTCACCTTAGGCAAGTTCATTGTCCTCTCTCTGTGGGTTCTTTGTGTCCAGTTTACGCAATAGTCCAGGCAAGAGCAGTTTCTTGCCCAAATGGCTATCAAACTCCATAACCAGCCTCTTCGATGCCCATCTTCCTCTTGAAGTAGATTGGTGCTGCCAGGAGCAGAGTGTCTCATTGTCATGAAAAGTCCTAAGTTATTAAAACATTTAAAATGCCATATTCTATAATCTTTGAAAAATATGAAGAATGCCTATCTAAAATATATATATGCACATCTAGAAAATCTTAACTAACGTGACTACAAACTTGACTATTATGATTATCTATTAACAATCTATATTTCTAATTATACATTTTTAAACGAACTACACAATCACAATACCTTAATCAAAATCAGAAACACTTATATATATATAACAAAATTGACCTTAAATCTCTATCAATAAAGCAAAATCTATACTAATGTAAATTATTCATATCTATATCATATCCCCCTTAAAATGTAAAAGAACGTTTATAAACCATATTTGGGAATATGGGCGCAGTTTTTTCTCTCCAAACTGCTTCCTGCTGAATGGGGGCGTCGTTAATTAGGTCTTTCATGGTATAACCTGTGTGCTAGTTTCTCAGTTGGCAGTTGAGCGAAGCAATTTTTTGAAGGCGTGCACAGGAACCATTCAGGAGGATGTGGTCCATCATACCACATTGGGATGGAAGCAATCCACAGACTCTCACCCTCTGTGAAAACAAAATAAGAAACTCCTTTCCAAAGTATCATATCCTTAGATCCAAATTCAAAATATCTATGTTGGATTAGTTCAGCAGCATTTATAAACAAATATCTTTTAGTAGCTTTTGCTCTTTCCTCAGCATTCAAACAATTCAAAGAGAGCATAATAGCATACAGTATCAAAATTCTCTGTGTATTTTCCATCTTTGTGCAGCTTTGTTTTAACCTCTATTTTGTTTATTTTTACTTTTAACTCTTTGCTTTATGAGACAGGTTCTCTGTATCTTTGACCTGAAGTAACTCTGTAGACCAGGCTGTCTTTGAACTCTCAGAGATCCGCCTGTCTCTGCCTCGCAGGCATTCGGGATTAAAGGTGTAAGCTACTACACCTTGAACTCACAGAGATCTGTTTGTCCCTGCCTTCTAGGCACTGGGATTAAAGGTGTGTGCTACCACACCTTGAAGTCACAGAGGTCAATCTCCCTCTGCCTCCCAAGTGTTGGGATTAAAGGTGTGTACTACCACACCCAACAATTCTCTTCCTTTTTTTTTTTTAGTTTAAGAACTTCAGCTTTTAGCCTGCATATATTTTTAACACGCTGTAAATCATTTAAACATTTTCTTTGTCTTTGGCTCTCTTTTTACTGTATCTCTCTCTGTTTTTCTGACCACATGAGTCTTTAATTTACCAAGCAATATCAGTAGGACTAAAGCCGTGGCTTTGACGGCTGGATCCAGCCCATTCCTTAGCTTTCCAGCCTCATGGCTGAGGTACTGGCTGTAGCCATGTTTACTGCCACAACTCTATGGCATTTGAAGGTCCCTGCCAGCAAGCGAGCTTCAGCAGCCTGTGCTTGCAAACCGCACAAACCGCCTGCGTAAAAGAGTCAGAGTTTGCCCTGGCAGGACAGCCCAGAAAGCTGGCATTTTTAGACGGTGCAGCTTTTTTCCTGCTACGGCTGAAAACCGAAAAGCGTGCATTCAGCTTTTCGTCAATACTGTTTAAGTGTTTCGTGGCAGGACCTCTTAAAAGAGCTGCAGGGTTTTGCAGCTAAAGCTGAGTCAGGAAGCCTCTCTTAGATGAGGCGCTTGCTTGCCTCTAGCAAGCAGAGTAGACCCGAGAAATTGACACTATCAAGAAAACATGCTTTACTCTTTCCCAAGCTTTCTCAGGCTTTCAGTGGATTCAGTTGTCCACACGTCTGGGCGCCAATTGTAGTAATAGGGGCGGCAGGGCTGCATTCCCAGCACCCCGGCCGCCTGCTTGGCTAGCTTATGCTCCAAAATAACAACACACAAACTGTATTCATTTAATCACTGCTTGGCCCATTTCTATCTAGCCTCTTCTAGGCTAATTCTCACATATTTATTTAGCCCATTTCTAATCATCTGTGTAGCGCCCCTAGGTGCGCTTACCAGGAAGATTCTAGTCTATGTCCATCCTGGGTCAGAGCTTCATGGCGTGCGTCTGCCTGGGAGCTGGTTGTGTGGCGTCTCTCTGAGGCATCTGCTCCCGAGAGGAGAGCTGTGGAGTCTGAGCTCACTTCCTCTTCCTCCCAGCGTTCTGTTCTGTTTACTCCTCCCACCTATCTTCTAACCAATAAAATGGGCCAAGGCAGTTCCTTTATTAGCCAATGACCTTCCTCCATCACCACTTTGCTCTTTAGGTCCCACGGATTAATAGCCATAAATTTACTATTCACCTCACTGTCCTTTTAAAAACTGGAGGGTGTTGGAGAGACAGCTTAGCAGTTAAAGCACACTGGGCACTCTTCCAGGGAACCCGGGTTCAATTCCCAACACTAACACAACCCACACCTGTCTGTAACTCTAGTTCCAGAGGACCTGACACCCTCTTCTGGCTTCTACAGCCCTATAAGGAAGTGGTGCTCACACATACATGCAGGTAAGCTACCCTAACATCTAAAATAAAAATTAATGTATTTAAAAAAAAAAAAAACAGTGGGGTGGTGAGATGGCTTCACTTGTCCCCTGAGCCAGACAACCTGAGTTCTATCCCCTGGGAACCACATGGCAGGAGAGAATCTATTCTCCCAAGCTGTCTGACTTCCACACTTACCCCAAGGCTCACACATACCCATAATCACATACAGAAGGATTAAATGTAATAAAAACTTTACATAAATAAAGACCATTGGGAACAGGATTACAGATTTTAATTTTGGAACCACTTTTGGGTCTGCTTAGTCCAGGCCTTGGCCATGGTCTCCTGCTGTTCCCTACACTCTAGTCTGGGCTCTCTGGGACAAGCTCTCCAGCACTGCCCTGCTGGCCAGAAGGGGAAAGGCACTTGGGCTGGCTGCCTGGTTAGGACCTAGGGGTAGACAGTGGTGGCCCCAGGCATGCTGTTGTCACCAGCAGGACAGTCAGTGTGGAAATACGGAAGTACAGGAATGGTCACCTGCTACAGGGAGAGGGAACAGTGGCCAGAGGCCGACAGAAAAAAAGATCCTATCTGTGCGTCCTTTCACTGAGGGAAGGAATCGAGCAGGGTCCAGAGCTATCAGTGTCCTCCACAATTAGGCTAAAGGCAAAGCCAGAGGCGGCTTCTGCCCGGAGTTAGAGCTGTCGCAAGTGTGAAGTGCGGGAGAAAAGCATCAGAGATGAAGGACAGACAGGCACGTCTGTCCCCAGCTCCAAAGCCCGAGTTCAGAGACTGGTGACTTGATTTCCATCCAGTGCTTTATTAAAGATAAATACTCTCAGAGAAGAAGTAAGCCATCCCCAGGCCAACAGACAGTGCATGTACATATGTGTGTATATGAGTATTTGTGAGGTCCCTGATCTGTGCTCTGAGGCGTGGTCAGCTAGGCAGAGCCTGGGCCAACCGGTAAGGCAGATGAGGGTCCCTGTCCTGGGGACTCACTGCTCCTGGGTGCCCCAGGAGATGTAGTCTGGCCGCGTGGCCGCATGGTACTCGTCAATCAGCTGCTGCACAATCTCCCTAGATGTGTCCATCTCGTCGAAATTGTCCTTGAAGATGTCCTCCTTGCGGAACTGCTCCATGAAGGCCTCCCTTTTCCGCAGCTTGTCAAACTGGCGGCAGGTCCGTTCAAAGAGCTTAGGGTATGAAGACAGCAGAGGTCACAGGAAATCAAGGGACAGTACGGCCCTAGAGCCAGGGAACCAAGACTGGGTTATCCCCTCAAACAGATGGCAGAGCAGGGGAGGCAGGGATGCAAACAGGCAAAGCACAGGGAGTTTATACAGCTGGGGAGGAGAGAGCTTCAGAATGGCGTCCAGTTCAGGACACCAACTAGGGGCAGACTGGGAAGGCTGATGACAGTACACAGTGGAACACAGTGGCCAGGTGCCAGGGGTGTGGCTCCCAGGTGGCAGCTTTGCTTAACATTCCTGAAGCCCTGGGTTTGCTCCTGGCTAACACACAGACAAAAGGAGACTGCTCACCGAGGAGATACTGGTGTGGTTGGCCATCATGAGCCCGCTGACCCGGTGGGCTGATGGCAGGAAGGGGGACTTCCTTGACAGGGCCACCTGGATGCTGGCTGGGCCCCAGGGGATCAGGTTGGCCAACTTCCTTTCCCGGATCCTCTGCAGGCCCTTGTGGACCTAGGGTGGGCAGAGTGGTGGTGGCTGCTTCTCCTTCACGCTGTGGACCAGAGGGTAGGGTGATGGGGCCTCCCTTACCTGGGTAGGGTCCACCTCTCCATGGATGATGTTGAGGATGGTGATGAAGCATTGGTTGATCTGATGACCCGGGCCAGTGGACAACATGACATCAGTGAGTTCTCACCTCGTGATGTCCAAGATCTTTGTCTTCCTTTTTTCAGCACTAAGAACTCCACCCTTTGTCCCTGCTGCCATCCTGAAACCCACCTTCCCAGCCAGAATATTTCTCAACCCAGAACTGCTGCTTTGTGAATGATTGACATAAAGTTTGCACAACCACCTTCCTCGCACCCGTTTCCCAGCATATCCATTTGTCTCTTATTTATTGCCAGTCTAGTCTGGACAGAGTCCCAGACTTACTTGAGCCTTGCCTTATCCCAAGCTAGGATTACCAAGGAACTCCGGAACTGACACCTGTGAGAAACCCCTGCCCCAGTTGTTGCCAGCTCCTCCTCCGTGCTCAGACAGGTAGATGTTCTCTGGGTTGTAGAGCTTGGCATAGGAGGAGTTGAGGATGGCGTGGATCACCCGGGGCTCCAGGTCCAGCAGCACAGCCCGGGGGATGTAATGCTCATCATCTGCCTGCCAAAAGGAAGCCAGGATGGGCCCGTGAGCCTGGCTGGGTCAAGTCCTGCATCCTCCCAACTCTGGCTCCTGCAGGCCCTCCCTTAAGACAGCCGTTCTGGTCCCATCCTGCCCAGTGAGTTTCCCAGCATCAGGTCACTGCCCTTGATCAAGTCATGTGGTGGGCACCTGGTAGAAAAAGACGTCCTTGCGATCAGTGCCTTCAGTGGCGAACTCCTCCACGATGCCCTCGGGGCTGATGCCATGCTCAGCACACAGCTGTTTCCAGAACTCGAACCCAACTAGGGGAGGGGAAAGAAGCCCAAGTCTGCTGGAGCCTTAAGGACGGAAAAGCCCAGGCTCATAATACATTATGAAGGCGACCCAAGACGCCTGGAAGTTGTCACAGCCCAGGACTGAGGAGGCAGCTCTTGCCTGGATCATCAGGCGCAATAAGGTAAGAAAGGTGGTTGTGGGAAGGACAAAAGGGATTAATGGGTACCAGGCACTTGAATGCCGGTCAAGGGATTGAACCAGAGACTGGCGGGACTCGACGGTCGCTTGCTCACTCTGGTTGCCGCACTGGCCCAGCTGCAGGGTGATGATCTCCCGGGGCATCGCCGGCCAGACGGGAGCTCGTCCGCCCCAGGCCGGCGGGAGTCACAGCCCAGCCTAGGAATGCCTGGCAGCCCGGCGCGCAGGACATGGGCAGCGCGCTGTCTGCCGGTGTTTTGACGGGGACGCTGCGTCTGCGCGTGTGCAGTGTGTGCCACTGCGCAGCCGGCGGGCGGCAGAGCCCGTCCTGGGCATCATTTTTTCTCACCACAGGCACAGCTGGAATTCAGCACAGGCGCAGAGTGAGGCCACGCCCCCTCATGTCAGGATGTGCGCTCGTGCAGGAGACCTTAGAGAGAGGAGGAAACCAACTTGGGTGTGGGGGAAGGGAGGAAGGAGCTGCCCGGTGGATGCACCCAGTGCAGGAGTCACCAGCCTACACCTGCCGGATGTGCTAGATTAAGGGGCTAGATTAAACCAACATTTTCTTAATGGTTGGGGAATTGAACCCATGTTCCTGTGCATACTAAGCACCTGCTATACCACTTAGCTACACACCGATCCCGAGACACATTTCCTTTTTTTCAATTTATATTCTATTTTTACACTATACAAAATACAAAATTTACAATCTAGGGCAAGCTTGTGCCTTAAAAATCCCAGAACTTGGGAGACAAAGCAGATAGATCTCTGTGAGTTCTAATACAGTCTATTTAGTGAATTTCAGGCTAGCTGAGGCTACATAGTGAGACCCTGTGTAATAAGATAAGATAAATTACCCTCTCAGAAGGGCCAGTTGTCCTAAAGGCCCTTGCTGCCAAGTCAACCACTGAGTTTGATCCCAGACACTCAAGTTAGAAGGAGAGAATCAAGAGCCGACACATGTATTGTCCTTTTACCTTTCTTTATGTATGCTCTTTCAGCGTACGAGCCAAAATAAATAAACCCACAAACTAATAAATGAGTAAATAAATAAATGTAATGTCAAAGTCAGTACATGTGGTTGCACACACCTCTCAACCCAGCACTCGGGAGACAGAGGCAAGCCAGTCAAGTCAAGGACAGTTTGGGCTACAGTGTATCAAAATGAGTGAACACTCTGGCAGCAAGCCTTTAGTCCTAGCCCCTGGGAGGCAGAAGCAGGCAGATCTCTGTAAGTTTGCAGCCACCCTGCTCTACACACCAAGTTCCAGGACAGCGAAAACTGCTACACAGAGGAACCCTGTCTCCAAAATCCAAAATAATAAATATATAAACAAACAAACATCCAAAGTTCACCATTTTAACCTTTAACCTGTTCCTATCTTAACCTTTTGAAGTGGCATGAAGGTCTATCGTGTTTTTAATGATCACGACCTCATTCAGAACTTTTTGTTTCGATTTTTTAGGGGGAGGTGTGGAGGCCAAGGGTTTCATGGGGCCCAGGCTGGTCTCAGCCTCACTCTGTAGCCCATAATAACCTTGAACTCTTGATCCTGGTGCTGGTGTTTCTCTAGTCCTAGCACTGCAGGCCTGTGCCGCCCAGTCAGAACTCCTCCATCTTCCCAGACTGGAACTCTGTACCCCTGGATGGTCTGTGCCCGTGACAGTGGCTATCCTCTCTGTCTTAGGACTTTGCCTCTGTGGACCTAAGTGGCAGCATGCAGCATTTTTCCTTCTGTTCCTGTCCATTTATTTCAGGTAGCACAATTCTTTAGGATTCCTCCATTGGCACCCATGTCAGGATGGCTTTCCCTTGTAAAGTTGAATATAAGCTGGGCAGTGGTGGTGCATGCCTTTAATTCTAGCATGAAAGAGGAAGAAGCAGGCAGATCTCTGAGTTCAAGGGCAGCCTGGTGTATGGAGTGAGTTCCAGGATAGCCAAGCTACACAGAGAAACTTTGTCTCTGAAAACAGAAACAATCAAAAAGATTGAATAATACTTCTTATTATATATATGTCTTACTTGTTTTGATCCATTCTTCTCTCAATGGCTTCCTTCTCCCTCTTCCTTTTCTTCTTGCGACATTGGGAACAGGATCTTGGACTTTGTTCTCACATGAGGCTAGTGCCTTCCCTCAGACTAAAATTACGGCTCTCCTTTTACTTAAAAACAAAAACCATTGCAATTGGGGAGATGGCTCAGGAGTTGGAGGATTTGGTTTGATGCCCAGCACCTATGTGATTGTGATAAAATTTTCCTGGGGAGACACAACACACGCATCTACTCACCCCAGATAGGAAGCCCAGAGCAAACAGACCATAGTACGGATAGCACCAAAGGCCAAGTTGGTGAAGCAAGGAGTTTTATTGGGGTTACTGTCAGGAATAGGGGTGAGGGGTGCCTTACCGGAGCAGAAATGATTCAAGGACAGTCGCATCACCAAAGCCCACAGCAGCATGACTGGCAGCTGACACTGTGCAGGTAGCTCATCAGGTTGGAAAGCATCCTTTCCCGTTGACTCAGGGGGTCTGCGCCTCTTCCTGGCAGCTTGCCTGACTTCTGCTTGTTCCAGGGAGCTGGTCTAGTCTGACAATCCTTTTCTGTAGCTCTGTCAGTCGTCTGTCTGTCTCTCTCTCTCTTTTTAGATGTCTATTCAGAAGTAGGATTGTTGAATCAGAAAATGATTTGATGTTTATCTTCTGGAGGAGCGATCATATTTTCTACAGCATCTGCAAAATTTTACATTCCTACAGGAAAATAATGTCCCACTTCTACCCCACTGCCAACACGCATAACGTTCTCTGTTTTTTGAGACAAACCATCCCAGTGGCCACAAAGCAGTATCTCACTGTGGCTGATCTTTTGTACCCACTGTTAAGCTTGTTTATTTTGTTTAGAGACAGGAGCTGATGGAACCCAAGTTGGTCTGGAAATCCTGGCCTTTTTTGTTAATAACATTTACTTTTATTTTATGGGCAGGTCTTTTGCCTGCGTGTATGTCTGTGTGGGGGATCCCCTTGGAACTGGAATTGCAGACATTTGTGTGAAGCTACAAGGAGTCTCTATCTTGCTGGTCCCAGGGGACCCGTTTTTCTCCACCTGCCTGCTCCCGAAGCCACTGATGAAATAGCCACTCTGAGGCTTATGATCAGTTACAACTGTTTGGCCAATGTCTTAGCCTTCGTACGAACAAGCTCTAACTATCAAATTATCCTATTTCTATTAATCTGTATATATGTTACTCCTTCGGTGGTTACTGTTGTGAGTGGTCATGTGGGTGCTGGGAACTGAAGCCGGGACCTCTGGAACAGTGTTCTTAACTGCTGAGCTGTCTCTCCAGCCCCAAACTCCTGATGTCACTGCCTCCACCTTCTGAGAGCCAATTTCAATGGCACCACAGTTGGCTCTTACTAATTTTGACATGGAGTCTCACTATGTAGCCCTGGTTAGCATTCACAGAGCTCCCCCTGCCTCTGCCTCCTGAGTGCTGAATTAAAAGTGTATACTACTGTGTCCAGCTCCTCTTTCATTTAAATTACACAACATTTCAAACATACAAGCATGGTTTTAAATTTTTGGACTTGAAATCTTACATAAAAGAATCAGATTATAAAAGAAGATAAAAGTAACCTTTTTTTTCTCCCTACAGTAGAACTGTGGAGAATTCATCATGTTTCTGTATGTAAATTTACTTTTTCATTTCCTTCTCTCATGCACACACATATACAGTATATACATATTTTTAATATATACTATTTTTTATTTTAAAAGTTTTATTATTTATTTTTTGAGGAGAGAGTTTGTTGAGGCTAGAACCCAAGGCCTTACAGGAATTCAGGAACCATGCTCAATCCCAGCCATATTCTTGGCACCATATACAATCTACTTGATTAAATTTTATGTGTATGAGTATTTTGCCCAATGTGTGTATATGTACCATGTGCATGTCTGGAGTTCACAAATATCAGAAGAGAGGGTCAGATCCCCAAAATGGAGTTAGAAGGTTGTGAGCCATCATGTGGGTGCTGGGATTTGAATTCTGGTTCTCAGCAAGAAGAACAAGTACTCTTAATCACTGAGCCATCTCCCCAGCCCCTATTATTATTATTATTATTATTATTATTATTATTATTATTATTATTATTATTATTATTATGTGTGTATGTATATCATGTGTGTGAACACAGGCAGGCAGGCAAGTACCATGGAATACATGGTGAAGGTCAGAGAACAACTCACTGGATTGGCTCTCTCCTTCTACCATGTGGGTTTCAGGCATCACAGCCATGCTTCTGGCTTGCATGACAAGTATGTTTGCCCACTGCGCCATCTAATCAGCCCATTTCTTTGTTTCTGTGGTGCTGGCTGTGGAATCCAAGGCTCACAGATGTTAAGAAGGGCCTCTGCCACTGAACTGGATCCCCACTGTGTTGCTCTTTTCAGCTGCATTTTAGTATTCCAGGGGACAGATAGAGGAAGGGTATTGATTCTTCCTTCAGGAGCAGGCTCAGCTTTTACTGCTTCCTCTGCAGGGAGGGGCCTAGTGGCTCTAGTCCATTTCAGGGACTTCCTCAAGTTATTTTGACTTGTTTACTGTCCTGCTGAAGGAGCTTCCTGCAGGGTGGAATGTTTCAGTCTGAGGGGAAACTGTTACACGGTTCTCACTTTGTCCTAGACTGCAGCACCAACCGAGGCTCTTCTTGCTTTGCTGGACCTGCATCTGCACCTGGTGTCAGATGGTAACTTTTGTCAGTCCCATGGATGCTGATGTGATTTATTGTTTCTACTTATCACAGTGAACTCTGTTGAACTCTCCTACCCAGCTTCCTTTCCTTTGGAAGAAAATGAGTTCTATGAGTGCACTTCAGGGGCAGGCAGCCCGGCACGGACAAGATGGCTACCACCTGCCAGTTCCACTTTTGTTGCTACCTGGGGTTTTTGTTTTGTTTGTTTTGTTTTTCGAGACAGCGTTTCTCCGTAGCTTTGGAGCCTGTTTTAAAACTAGACCAGGCTGGCCTCGAACGCACAGAGATCTCCCTGCCTCTGCCTTCTGAGTGCTGGGATTAAAGGCATGTGCCACCAATGCCCGGCTTTCTATCTGGGGTTTCTTCCTCTCTGAATTGCCTGTTCTTTGGATTGTCTCCTTCAGACATTTGAAGATTTTCTACAGCCAGGCGTGGCGGTACACACTCGATATCACAGCACTTGGGTTAGTC